TCAACTGAGAAGATTAGAGTTTAATAAAATTTTGGAGGGATCAAATGAGACACTATAAATCCATAAAGTTCAATCTATTTTTGCAGAGAACAAGGGACAAAGTTCATACTACCAACAAAATTATAGTTTCAAATTTAATTTTCTTGTATGATGTCTAAAGTTTTTACAGCGAAGATGTTATAACAATTTTTTTCCATTCTAATGTTCTAAAAAGCGTTCTAGACATTATGTTTATCGAGTGTTTAGGCGCTAGGTTCTCATAGACCATAGAGATTACTGTTTTTAAATAGGTTCTGAGCCCGTTATGATCTCTAGAGTATCTAAATATGTTATATATAATGGATAAATTAGTAAGATTAATTTTGCAAAACTTTAAATAGTTTCGGGTTAAATAGTCAACGAAACTAGGTTATGAGGTAATCCATAATCATTTTGTCACTATAGCTTCACTCTCCTGCTGCAATGTTGGTCCTGCTGCAATGTCCCTTGACATATCGACACAATTATGTCATTATACTTATCTAAAGAGACACCCGACGACTTCACTGCTTCAGTCAGATACGTTTTGAGCTAGCATAGTTACGGAGAACTTTTTCTGCTAACTTCCGAGATAATTGGCGAACCTGATGGGTACAAGTTGAAATAGTTAACAAAAAGAAAATTTGTTTGCTGAAACAAAATCGGTAAGACCATCAATGTATATTAACCTCATCATCCTTTCGAAGATAATGTAGAATTGGTGAAAGTATCTTTGGAGGTATCCTTGCTTTTATTTAAAACACCAGTCATAATATCCTCCATAGATGAAAATACTTCCTTTGAGTGATGATCCATGTAAAGGAAAATGTAATTATGACAACTAGTGTTCAATTTTGAGTGTATAAGAATGGATTTTGTTAGCTTGTACCTTATACTCTTGAGGAACTTATGGAACATCTCAACAACAAGTTCATCACACTCAAGACGCAACATGAGAACCCATGACTCGAGGCAAGCCATATTTTCAAGCATCCGGATCTTTTTGAGATAGGAGAACGAGTGTTGTCATCTAGATTTTCAAATGATGATATAGTTAACTTGAATATGTCCGGCGAATGAATACAAGTAAAAGAGTCAGGGAGCAATATGCACATTTCTTCAAGAAAAAGTTAACATATAAACCTTCATCTGTTCATCATCAAAAGGAGGATTGAAAGCATATATTCCTATAATCTCATTGATGCAGGCAGCGACTCCAACTCTCACATCAAGATCAGAATGATTGAAGAAAATTTCTTCGAGTAATGTTTTCTCCAATGGAGCGATCATTTTCTGCATTGCGATGGGAGGTGAGTGTTGGACATATGACAGGTGGATGAAAAGGCTCTGCAGCAAAATACAAAAGGAATATCAAACTCCAAAATCACATTTTAAACACCATTCAAGAAAACCACTTCACAGATAAAAACTTGTTAATAAAAACGAATGAATGGTAAAAAAAAGCTCACGTCAAGGATTCTACGTAGCTTCTTCTCATAAGAAGGTTTCGTTTCAGAGAGTATTTTCGCAGATTCAAGCATCCATGACAAATTTTTTGCATAAAAGAAATTTGACATAAC